CAGCTGACCACGCTTCATTGGTCAAGAGCTGGGGGGGGGATGGGGACGATTTTGGGGGCATCCCAGGGGGCCCCTCCCGGCGCCCCCCGCCTCGGCGCCCCCCCCGCGCTCCCGCAGAGCACTTGGGGGCCACGTCACTGCTGGAACTGGCCCGTGGGCACCAAAGCTCCCCCCAGAACTGTTCCCAAAGCGGGGGGGACCTGGCCGTGCTGGCGGCCATCGCYCTCACCCAGGGCGGCAGCGACGCTGATGACGCCGATGACTCCGAGGACGCTGCCGCCGACGTCCCCCCGGCTCCCCGGGACGCCCCTGTGCTGCTGGAGCACAACTACGCCATGCCGGCGCGGGCGGGGCCCCCCAAAACGCTGCCGGCCCCGCCCACCATCACCGGCCCCGCCCTGTGCTTGGAGGCCACTGCTGCCGAGGTGCTCGAGGCCCCCGAGGAGGTGGTGGCCGAGCTGCCCCCGCCCGGTGTCACCGAGAGGGATTCGAGGACCCCGCTGGCCCCGCCGCCACGCCGCAAACGGCACCGGCCGCCCCCGCCCTCGTCCTCGAGCGACAGCGAGGCTGACGACGACGATGATGACGATGACAGCAGCAGCGATGACGGTGATGGCAGCGGTGGTGCCCGGTGCTGGCTGCGCCCCCGCGGCGTCCCCCCGCCGTCCCCGCCGGCCACCTTCGCGCCACGCAGCGAGTTCGAGCAGATGACCATCCTGTACGACATCTGGAGCGCTGGGCTGGACGCCGAGGACGCGCGCTACCTGCGGCTGACCTACGAGCGGCTGCTGCAGCAGGATGGGGCTGCGCACTGGCTGAATGACACCCACTGGGTGCACCACACCGATATCCTGCTGGGGCTGTGGGGACACGGGGTGTGGTGACACGGGGTGGCAGTGTGGCGACGTGGGGATGGGCGCTGGTGTTGTCATGGAGATACCACCTCTCGCATCCTCTCGCCGGCTGTTGTTGCCTTGACCGCTGTCCCTCACTGACTAGGACGAGCAGCCCTCGGCGCCGGCGCCGGTGGCCGGAGTGCCGGGAGCACCGGACGGGCAGCGCCCGCAGCGAGGGCTACTACCCCATCAGCCGGCGCGAGAAGGCGCGGTACCTGCGGCCGTGCCCTGCGCCCCGGCCCGACCCCGACGTGCCGGACACCCAGGTGAGTCCATGGGCATGGCCAGGGAGGGGACCCCGCCCCGCYGCCGCTGTGGTGTCACCGCTGTCACCGCCTGGCCCCCCTGCAGGGTCCCAACCGTGTGCTGTCGGAGCGACGCTCAGAGCAACGGCGGCTGCTCAGCGCCATCGGCTCGGCCGCGCTGCCGGACAGTGACCTGCTCAAGCTCAACCAGCTCAAGGTGGGTCATGCTGCGGGGTTCGGGATCACTTAGCTTCTCTCTGGTCGTCCCAGTGTAACGTCCCTCGGTGCCCTCCATGGCCCTGTTGTCCCTCGCGCTATTCCCGTGTTCTGTGTGTCTGTGTCCCTGATGTCACACCCCCATTGCCCCCACCCCAATTCCCCCGTCTTGTCCTCACTGCAATGATAAGTTCCCCCTTGTCTCCCCCCACYGTCCCCACTCCTGATAACACGTTCCCTCATGTTGTCCCCGCCCCTGATGATTATTCTCCGTGTTCTTCAGTTCCGGAAGAAGCGGCTGCGCTTCGGCCGCAGCCGGATCCACGAGTGGGGCCTGTTTGCCATGGAGCCCATTGCGGCCGACGAGATGGTCATTGAGTACGTGGGGCAGAACATCCGCCAGGTTGGTGTCCCTAGACCTCCCCTCGCTTGGTGTCCCCACAACCACCATGAGCATCCATTGGGCACATCCCATGTCCTGGTTGCCACCAGTCAGTCACCTCCCAGCCCACTCTTGTGAGGTCACCTTGGACTGTGGACCCACTAAGCCTTCTGTGGTCTCCAGCTCCCTTCCTTGGTGTCCCTGTGGTCACCTTCTACCAGCCTCGGGTGGCTCACGGCGACCACCATGGCTGAGTTTTGGACAGCGTGGTCAGTGTTTCACCACCTGTGCTGACATTTGGTGGCCATTTGGTGGACTTTTGGCCTCCAGAGCTGCTTTTTGGCCATCACAGTAGACCTTTGGCTGTCATGGTTGATGTGAGGGCCAGTCCCCAGATGCCAGAAAGACCCCGGGGTGGTGTTCTGGCCATGGCGGTGATCCCGCCTCGGTGACACTGTGGCTGTGACCGCAGGTAGTGGCCGACATGCGGGAGAAGCGCTATGCCCAGGAGGGTATCGGCAGCAGTTACCTGTTCCGCGTGGACCACGACACCATCATCGAYGCCACCAAGTGCGGCAACCTGGCGCGCTTCATCAACCACTGCTGCACGGTGAGCCCGTGGTGGTCCCCAAAACCCTGGGGGAACACCCCGAGGTCCTGCTGACCCCCTGTTCCTCCCTCCAGCCCAACTGCTACGCCAAGGTCATCACAATCGAGGCGCAGAAGAAGATTGTCATCTACTCGAAGCAGGCCATCGGTGTTAACGAGGAGATCACCTATGACTACAAGTTCCCCATCGAGGACACCAAGATCCCCTGCCTGTGCCGCACCGAGAGCTGCCGCGGCACCCTCAACTAGGGCAGCGGGGGTGGGCTGGGGCCATGTCTGTGCCATGCCAGGAGGGGCGTTGGGGTGCTGTGGTGCAGTTTTGGTCACCAAGGTTGGTGTTGGCCTCTACAATCGGCGTTTGATAACCAGGGTTGGCTTTTGGCTGCTGTGGTAGATGTGAGGGTTCACCACTGACATGACACCCCAGGGTTAATGTTTGGTCACCAGGGTTGATGTGAGGGGCCACTGCTGACAGGAGGACACCTGAAGCTGACCTTTGGCCACTGCAGTCAATGTTCAGCTGCTGCTGGTGCCCCAAGGATGTTGTGAGTGCCAGAGGGGCCACCATGGGTGACCTTTGGCCATGGCTGTTGAGACTGGGGGCCACCATCGCTGACATAATGACATTACTGATGTTTGGTGACCAATGACTTGATGTCACAGCTGTCAGTGGTGCAGTCATCCTCGTGTTGCCTGTGACATCATTGCCTGGCCACCAGTGCCATTGAGCCCCCCAACAGCCATGACATCGCTGCCCCTCCTTGTTCCTGGCAGCGCCCGTAATGACATCACCATGACATCACCATAACATCACGGCACCCCTCTTCCCCCCCCTGAAAAAGGCTCTTTTTCTCCCTTTTTTTTGGCTGTTTCTTGTAGAAACTTGGGGGCGTGTCGGGGGGGGCGGGGCCTGGCCCCCCATTCAGGGGAGGGGGGGATGTGAGGGGGGTSTGCCCCTCCCCCAGCCCCCTGCCCAGTCTCCCGGGGCCGCCCGTCCCCCCCAGCTCTGTAAATACCCCCGGGGGGGTGTAAATAGCTGTACATGCCCCTCCCCCCTGTACATATGTTGATACGGGGGGGCCCCTGGGCCCCTCCTTTTTATAAAGTGGCCACTGAGCTTTGGCATCGCCTCGGCCTCGTTTGTTTTTGGGGGAGTCTGAAGGGTCAAAGCTGCTGGCAGAGGGGAAAAGGACCTTTATATTCCATCAAAAAGGAGTCAAACTTTCTTCTTATTAGAGGTACCAATGAAAGTCACACAAGTCCCAATGAGTTACCCATTATTATTATCGTTAATAAATTTAGAGTAAAAGTAGAAATACTACAGAAAAAGGCAAAAAAAGAAGAAAAAACGAATAGGGGGGAAAAAAGGGTTTTTGTGTATCAGCAATATGGAAGAGTAACAACCACCGTAACGGTAAAAGTGTGCCAAAGGCAGAAGGGTAGCCTTGAGTGTTGAGGTCTATTTTACTGTTTCTAACAAGAGGTCACTATATGTTAAACACCGAAGCCCGCAAGATGGTTGAAAGGATCGTACAAAAATGCCAGCCTATTTAACCTCTTTAGGCGGGGGTGGGGGGTGGGGGGGGCTCCCTCCTTTTCTAAACGAAAATGGGGTTCGGATTTCTTTAAACCCTGCCGTGCCTCGCCTGAAGCAGCCCAGCGTCGTACTGGTGCCGCTGTCCGTCAGCCGCACGCGAGCGAGATGTTAATAAAACCTCACAGAACTCGGACACCGCAACAAACTATTATCGGATGGAAGAGCAGCCACATTTACTGCTAGGTGTCGGCAAAACGCAGCGAGGGAGAATCGCTTCGGAAGGGCCGGGAATGGCCTTTG